GCTATATAAATAAACTGAATTGGATAAAGTTGGTTTAAAAAGTTAATCAAAGTCATTTTAACCTTGACAGTGTTGGTATACAGCATTGCAGAGACTGTGTGGAGGCTGAAGGATGGCCTCCATGCAGACCCAGGATCAGCTGAAGGGGACACTGTGTGCTGAGGTCAGCGTCACATATCCAAACTCTAGTACCCCCTTAACCACATGTAAGGAGACACCAGCCCCTCAGAAGGTAACCGTGTCCAACAGGGATCACTTCCCACCATCACGCTGGACTGAAACCCTAAAGAGGGACTTAAATGGAGGCTTTGTAACAAGTTTAAAGTAGTGAACATCTTTCTTGCAGGAGATTTGTCGTGGCTAGGCTGATGACTTTTTGATCTGGATGTGGAGGTCAAAGGTAAATCCAGTCAACCTGCATTAAACAAGTTGTTCCCTTCAGACACCACAGAAATAAAATAATCCTCAGCTTCTCCATGAATATCCATTTAAATCCATGTTTGCAGAGACTTGTTATCAGATGTCAGTAGAAAGAAAAATCTACATTTAAGAGCACCGTGTTTAAATAAGCTCCTCATATCTGGTGTTATGATGCATGATTGACAAAAAAAAGATTTTCCGGGTGAGATTATTAATAATCTACAATCTAGAAACATTATTTTACAAATGCAAAGCAAATTTAAGATTATGTAGAACTCGTCATCCTTCCATCTGCCTCCTGTTACCTTTTCCTTCCCACTACCCCCTCCCTTCCTCTCACCTCTCCTCTCCTCCCTGTTTTCCAGTTTCCCTCCTTGTGTCCCCTCCAGACCTTATAAATACACCAGAGCAGTTGGGAAGAGCTCAGAGCTGCAGAGCTGCTCATAGAAAATAGGAACAGGACAACGAGGAGGGAGAGGACACCAACAGGAAGAACAAGACAAACATCTCAGCTAAAACTTGATTTTAGTTTGGATAAAAGATCAGGTTTCTCAATCACAGGATTGATCAGTTAGGAAAAGGGTTTGATAGATCAGTATAGGTTGAGCAGGTGGTGTCAGAAAGATGTTCTTTGTTTTCCTGCTGTGCATATGTGGTCTCCTGCTGCGAGGAAATGCCCAGGACCGAGCCTCTTTGTGGAGGGGGAACGACCGCAGTGGGCGATGCCAATACACCTTCACCGTGCCCAGTCCCATGGAGGCCACCTGCCCACAGGGTGGAGGTCCAGAGGTGGAGGGCCTGAAGAACAGACTCAGCGTGCTGGAGGCACTGGTGTCCCAGCTGAGTGGAAAGGATGTCCAACCACGAGGAGGTCACCAGGGCGCCGCTGCCAGACCGCAACCTGAGCTCCAGGAGGCGCTCAACCGGGCCGTGGGAGAGAGGAACCTGCTGCAAGGGGAGAAGGAGAGACTGGCCAGGGAGCTGGAGACGCTTAAGCTCCGGATGGAGGAGATGAGGAGGGAGACAGAGAGGCTGAGGAGCAGACCGTGTCTGGGTCAGAATCCAGCAGTGGCCCCCAGCTCCCCCCAACAGGACTGGGGCCGAGGCAGACCTGTGTCTGGTAAGAGAAACACAACGTTATAGAAACACAAAAGCTGTAAATTGGTTTTGTTTGTTTTTTTTTTGTTTTTTTTTTACATTTTATGTAAAAAAAGGCATGATTTAACTTATAATTGTGAGTGCATCATTTTGTTATCTGTATTTCTGACCTATTATAACAAACCTCTTTATTCCTACAGTCATGCATTCTGGTCCGTCTCTTGTTTCTATCATGGCTCTGCACAGATTCTAAGAAGCTGTTTTCATGGATCACAAACTTTTCTATAAAAAAGGAAAACATAAAGAAACAGCTTTGTACTAATGGGATTTTTACATTTTAATTCATGTTATTTATACCACATAAAAAGTGCAGACGTAAATTATCAAGAAGGCAAAATACTTTGAAAGATGTGTTACATTTATTTCTGTTATAATTAATCAATGAAACAACATAAATGACTAAACAATGAAGTCACTATTATTTGCTGCATTGGAGAGTTAAGGGTTTAATGCCATAGAGGGAAATCATTCAGGATTTAAAGCCACATAGATCTCTGTGTGTTTGAATAGTAATGTTTTGGTTGCCTATCATCGTGCAGTTAGACACCCCCAGCTCATGTAAACACCCCCCCACATTGCTTTTAGAAAAGCTGGAAGGCAGCCATAGAGGATCAGTTTTATATTTATGGATAGTTGTGCAGCCTTTATGGCTGGTGTTTCCCCTCAGCGTGGCAAAGCTTGTCCTTTTTCTTCTTATTATTTTTTTGTTGTTCCGATGTGCTGTGGTGCATTTCTTTTCACTAAACACTTCCCACAGTCACCATTCTTCTTTTATATTTAATTCAATTCAGTTTATTTCTATAGCGCTAATTCACAACACATTTCATCTTAGGCACTTTCCAGTTCCACCAGATCCACCAGTCAGATTGATTCAAAGTTTTCTATCTAAGGAAAACCAGCTGATTGCATCGACTCATTGACTCTTCAGCAATCCCTCACACTAAGCATGCTTGTAGCGACAGTGGAGAGGAAAAACTCCCTTTGAACAGGAAGAAACCTCCAGCAGAACCAGGCTCAGTGTGAGCGGCCATCTGCTGAGGCCCACTGGGGTTCAAGGAGACAGAAGCAGACATAGAAAAAGAAGCATAGATACAAAAGGCAACTGTCAACCAGCTCCACAGGCGGCCCCGTCCAGGAAACACACAGCCAGGCAGACGAGCTCCGAGCCAGCTCCCATGTCAGAGGATGAAGAGAGCACATCCAGTTAGTCACAGTCAGAGAAACAGGACTACACTGGAAAACAGGCCAAGCTCCAACATCTAGAAACAAAGGTGTTGATGGCAGCAGCACAGCTGATATTTCTCTCCAGGATGGAGTCACAGCCAAACAGGAACAGACCAGATGAAGCTACTATGAGAAAAAGCAGAGAGAGCAGAACGTTAGAGATTGAACTAACAGATTCTGCAGAGTGGGAGAATAGAGATAGAATGAAGCAGAATGATGAAATAGGGGTCCCTATGTCCTCCAGCAGTCTAAGCCTATAGCAGCAGAACTATAGAGATAGCTCAGGATAACCTGAGCAACTCTAACTAGAAGCTTTATCAAAAAGGAAAGATTTAAGCCTAGCCTTAAAAGTAAACAGGGTGTCTGCCTCACGGACTAAAACTGGTAGTTGGTTCCACAGGAGAGGAGCCTGATAACTAAAAGATCTGCCTCCCATTCTACTTTTGATTTCTAGGACTCACTAGTAAACCTGCAGATTGAGAGCGAAGTTTTACCCCCCAGTGAAGAATCCCTCAGTTTACACCCACCTGGAATTCTGCATCATTTATTTTTAACGTTGAGATTTCCTGGACCGATAAATCTTTCCATTCCTGTAAGACCGTCTGTATTCCCTGTGCTTCAGGAGGCCCGTATAGCCCTGCATCCTCTCAGTTATGGGCTTAGCTCCTCATGTTTTCACCTGCAGACTGAAACACACAGGAAGGGCCCCCCTAAGGGTGACAGGCAGATGCAGAATAGATCATCCAGACTTGCAGGAGCATAGGAGAAACAACAATAAATCAAGATATTCTGGAAAGTTTGTAGGTAAGAGGAAAGCCTTTGATGGGATTTTTATGGCTTACAACCCCAACACTATTTGTGACCTTTTTAAATACTTAAAATATACGAGCTGATGTTCTGAAATGGTTATGTTATGCTTTAAGAATAAGCATTAGATTACATTTACAGCACAAGCAGTAACCCAAACCAGCCGAGTACTTGGTTCACATAGTGTTAATCTTTCCTGAATGGGACGTGATCTGAACCCTGAAGTCTGTTCTACATGATGGTGATCTATTAAATCATTTCACCTTATTTAAAAATATATAAATAAAACAGAGAGGCAGTCAGACACCAAAATTCTTTATATAATATAGTGGGTGACATTAAAGGATGCCAAGCCATAAAACAGTCATTAATATTGTTGGAACAACATATGGAGTCATAAAAAAACGAGTTTTTATTCCTCTCAGGCTCAAATTAAGTTGCAGTTGCAGGAAAAATCTTATATTTGGAGAAAAATATTATATGGGGTAGTAATATACAATTCAAATTTTTTGAGAGAGACCTTCACATGCAATAAATTCTGGGATGTTGCAGATTTGCAACAATGGCCCGGAGTGGTAAATTAATACTGAAGACTGAATCTGATATGAACGTTAACTTTATTTAAATGTCACAAACAAAAAATTAATAAAAAAAAATTCGGAAAAAAAAAAATTTCTCTCACAAAATTAGAGACAACTTTTTCTCAAACTTCTTCTCCGTCGACATCTCAAAACCTCTTGAGAAGGCCGTTTCTGTTAAACTGTTGCTCAAAATATAGGCAAACTAGTAGATAAAGCATGTAGCTTCCATTGGTGCCTGTTTGGGCAAACGTTGCGAATCCACAACATTCAAATCGAGATGCCTCTGGTGAAAAACCCAGGGGAGATAAAATATCTAAACACATTCATGATTCATATATGTAGTATTGATTTCAAAATAATGGAAATTGGTAGTGATACTTACATGAAATTGGTCCTTAGAAAATCGGTTTCAGTGACTCAGCCATTTTGAAAGTGAGTCAGCAGTGCTATCTGGTGAGCTGGAGAGAAACTGTTTGTTGCAAATGCACAACTAAGTCCTTCTGTTGTACTTCCGAGTAACAAAAGCTCTTAAAATATGGATGTGGAGTAATTAGCTAAGTGGGATAAAGCTGTTGCAAATATGCAACATCTGCCTGGAGAGGGTTACCTTTAACTGTCCCAGAAAAGGTGGTAGGATGGAAGAACCCCCCAAAAAAAGACTTTAACAGAAAGATCAGCACCACCTAGACTTATTAATCCAGTAACTTAGGAGCCTTCCAAAACTTTTCACACCCTTCTTTTTCTGTTTTTTTGTAGCGTCAAAACCTCAAACTTTGAATTTCCTACCATTTAGTTTGGGAAATCCCCACTAAGTAGAGCATGACTGTAAATCCAAAGGTAAACTATACATCGGTGGTCAAACATATGGTAAGCATTTGTAGTCAGCCCCTTGAATCAGACACCCCTAAAGAAAATTCTAGGAACCCAAATTATGGAGAAGTTTAAAACAAGCCCTGATGACAAGTCCGAAAAGCTACCAGCCAATGGTTGTATGTCAAACTGACAGGCTGCGCAAGGAAAGCTGAAGCTGCTGAGAGGCACATGTCAGCACACAGGCCTTGTCTGGACTGACTGAGGTGGTCGTTTAGGCCTCTAGATCCTGCAAAGCTGATAGAGACATAAAGAAAAAGGCTTCCAGCTGCAGATAAGGCCGACATCTGAAGGCAAAGCTTCTAATAGTGACTAAACGGGTAAAAGTTTATGGGTTACAAATACTTTTGAAAGTCCTTGTTGTTGTTTTTCCAGACAGCACCGACTTCCATTCACCAAACTACCGATCATTAACGCAGCACATCAACAACAGATGTTGACGTTTAAAGTTCGCCGCTCCACCACACACCATCGCTTTTAATCACAACACATCCGGCCATCTTCTTTCTGTAGTTTGTAATCATCGTTGTGTTTAGACCACCAGGAGTTTCCACACAGAGCTGCTTACAGTTTATCAGATTCTGTTTGACAAGGTTTATTTTTCACTGCAACGGTTTGAGAGGAAAACAAGCTGGAAAAACAGAGACAAGGGTCACACTGGGTTATGGAAATATGACAAACAAAAACAAAGTGTTAGATAAAAGAGATATTCTTAACCTTGTGGACTATATCACAGTTTTAAATAATTATTGAATTAAATTAGCTGATATTTTCATGAAATGTCACCAACATAGTTTATCTACAGAAATATAAAGTCAGTTCAATCTATTTAAGTACATTTCATAAGTTCCAGCTTAACCTCAGTTGTAAAACACGTGTTCTCCTCAGAGAGCAGAATCAAACATTTTTATCTACATGCAAAATGTAGAAAAATGGATGCAGCTCATCATCAGCTGGTGAAGATCCTCAGTCATCCAGGTCAGTCATTCCAAAAAAGTAAAAAAAAAAATCTGCTGGACTTTGTTTCCAAGTGAAGACGTTTCGCTTCCCATCCAGGAAGCTTTTCAATTCCCCCTTTCCAAAACATAGACAGGTATCGGTTATTACAGGCTAACAACGAAACAAAACCACCCCCATCCAAAGGGGCGGAGCCGCTCATCAGGATCAGTTTGCATGTTTCTAAGCCGAAACAAGGCTTTGCTTTATAAAGCCTGGAACTCAACAATATTTCTGACATTTTGAGTTGAAAAAGCTTCCTGGAAACAAAACATCTTCAAACTTGGAAACAAAATCCAGTGGATTGTTTTTTTTTTTTTACTTTTTTGGAATGAGCAGCACATCATCCTAAAACTATAGTTCTGATAGTGAAACACGGCAGTGGGAGAGTCATGCTGTGGGGATGGCTTTCAGGTACAGAATTGGGGGTGGTGATTCTCCTTCCATCAGCCCCACAAATACAGTCAGATTCCTGACTGAGTGTTTTAGATCGGAGCGTGTCGGTGAGTTAAAGTGAGCCTGTCTGCATTCAGAGCTGATCTACAAACTGTTTGACTCCAAACCAGCAGGGAACCAGCATCTAACGAGGGCTTGATCCCTCCTTCAAATGGTTCCCTAAATGTCACATTCCTCGCTGTCATTAGTATAACAGACAGGCACATATATCCCGGTCTAGCTGTGACGTGCGTCTCTGTGTCCAGGCTCCAATCAGATGTCCCACCTCATGACCAATCCCAACAGGCAGGGCGACAGCAGCAACCTGAGAGGTGAGACCAGTTTCCTTCCACAGAAACCCAACTTTATGCTCATCCACTGTTTTTTATTTTTATTTTACTGCACATTGATTAATACTTAAACCGTCGATCTTTTCTGGCTTCAGATTCAGCCTGGCAGTACGGACCGATGGGCTTTCAGGAACTGAAGGCCGAGGTGACCGAGGTTCCTGCTCCTGACAGCAACAACACAGGTCTCTGTCTTTCATTAAAACTGCAGCAATTTCCCCCCCAAAAAAATATACGGATGATCTACAGAAGCCCTCTGAGCCAAATCCTGCTTTTCCTTTGAGAGAATATCACCAGAGGAACGCAGTATGAAGCAGAGATGCTAATACCAGCCAGTTCCATCCACCATCATTGGTGTGAGCCAGCAAACATGACCCCCATCCCTCCTGCTGACAACCTCAAAGCAAATACAGCTATTAATACCGAGGCATGTGGGGTGAGAATACCTCTGCCGTGCCTCGACGTTGGTATGAGGGGCCCTGTGAGTTTCATGTTTGCCTCATAAAAGAGGAGGGAAAGCACCTTTAACGAGGCTGTCATTTAATCTAACCCTTCCCAGGGTGGATCCCAGGCTCCTCTAAAGCTCCTAAAGTATGCATCAATCTGCCTCATGAGGAAAAAACATCACAGAACATCGTTCTGTTTCATTTGAGACCAAAGCACATGGTAATGGGTGTATTTATAAGGCTTGCTGGTGTCTAACCTAAAATCTGGGTCTACATCCGGAACCTGAGAGGAACGCTGTATTTTAGGAAGAGATAAATATAAAACCAACCTTATCATTTTCTCTAGAGCCTCTCCTCTGAGGGTGGTGACTCAGATGAAACCTGCCGGTTGTGTTACCGCTCTAACAGTCGGTTTTAGGATCAGAATGATCAGCTGTTTTTCTGATGATGACTCGTCAGACTTCTGGGTTTTTCTCTTGTTCTTTTAGAGAAAACATCTCAGAGCTTTGATGCGATTTGATACAAAAATGTTCACATCTTTATTTTGGTTTCTGTTGAATACATGTTGGTAAATCTTTCTGCCCCCCCTCCTCATTCGTTGTCCATCTTTCTGCAGGATGCGGGGAGCTGATCGCTGTGGGGGAGCCGGTCACTCACAGGAAGGCCGATAACATCGCGGGTAAATATGGGGTTTGGATGCAGGATCCTGAGGCCGTTTCCCCCTATGGACCCAACATGCTGTGGCGCATCGATACCGTTGGCACTGAGATCAGGCAGCTGTATGGGTATGAAGACATGGAGCAGCTCTCCAAAGGCTTCCCCTCCAAGGTAGGAATCACAGCAGAACCTTAAACTTGAATGGATTGTATTTGGATTTAATATCCTAGATCAGGCATCCCCCAAAGTCGGTCCTCAGGGCCGCTGTCCTGCAGGTTTTAGAGGTTTCCCTGCTCCAGCACAGCTCATTTATATGGATAGTTGATTAAAAGGCTTTTGCCGAATTTAGAGCTCGCAATAAGCTGCAAAAATAATCCCGTCCCAGTCAGAAAGACCCAAACCAACAGTTAAGCAAATTACAAGTTCAAAACCTCTGGAGCAGCGTCCCAAAATTGTAGAAGACTCATTGATTGTAAAAAAGAAAGATTTTGTACTTTTTATGGTAGAAGTGATCAATTTTAGCGCTCAGACGACAAAGAATCAAAATAAAATCAAAATAATAGTGCAAGCTGCAGAAAAGTATCTTGAAGTCAGAGATTTAAACTTGGAAACGGTTGAAAGTATGATGGGAAAACCAGTAGGACCATCAGAAACTGGCAGAGTGATGATAAGTTAAAGATTAATTAGAAACTTTGAGGACAAATTTGATTAAGTATTTATTATGTTGGATTAAATTAAACAGTTTGGAAAAAAAATTTTTTTTCTTTAATTTATTTTATTTATTCTGGGGATGAGTCTTTTTTCCCGTTTCCTTGTTTAACTCCTTATCAGTTGGTGGCGGTCATGCATTTGAACTAGTTTGCCAACTGCCTTAAAACCTTAGAAGAAGAAGAAAAAGGCTTTTGCTGAACTGCAATCATCAGAATGAGCTGCGCTAAAGCAGAGAAACCTCTAAAACCTGCAGGACAGCGGCCCTCCATGATGCCTGTCCTGGATCAGGGGGGCAATTCCAGTTCCTGAGGGCCGCTATCCTGCAACTTTTAGATGTGTCTTTGGTTCAACACACCTGAATAAAGTCACTAGATGATGGAGAGGACTCTGGAGGAACTGACTGCATTAGGTAACTCAGGTGTGTTGGAGCACGGACGGATGTAGAAGTTGCAGGATACAGCCCTCCAGGAACCAGAATTGCCCAGCTCTGTCCTAGATAATGACAAAGTAGAGCATTAATATCAAGGGGGATGAAAAATCTAAATGAAATCTGAAACTGTGACCTGCTGACATATTACTGAATTTTTTTTAGGTTTGTTAAAGAATAAAGGGCATCATGAGGGAGGATGTTGTGGAGAGTTTCAGAAGGAGTCAGGTTTGAAGATGACCTGATAGAGAGCTTTAATTAGAAACAGCCCAGTGATAGATGGTAACTCTGGAGGAGCTGCAGAAGACGGGGCAACTATGGTGCCTTCTGTAAATCTGGCCTTTATGGAAATGTGGCAGGAGAAAAAAATCCAATGAGTTGTTGGATACTTGTAACTTTCTGACTGATATTTAAAGCTGTATCTGTGATGGAAAAATGAACTCTAGACACCCCCTCAGAGCAGGGGCGAAGCTAGATGGGGGGCCAGGGCCACCCTTAGCCAATCATTGGCCACCCCTACCATTTTGGTGGTTAATTGATGCACATCAGTGCACTAACATTAAAGATAAGTACAGAGTTCATAATCTTTTCAGAAATACATTTTGTGTTAAATATGGGGTAAAATGATAAAAATAAAATGATGTTTCTGGAAGTCATCTAGGAGTCTTCAGTGAAATCATAGAAAACTATTTTCATAAAAACACATTAAATAATCAACTTATGTAGGTATAAGTACTTATAAATATCAATTTAATGCAGAATGATTATTGATAAAAGTAGGTAAGTGATGACAATGGAAAAGATGTTTGGCCATGTTTTATCAAGAAAACACGGATGTTTAAATATATGCGTCTATTTGTTAGCAAAGGATGCAGGAAAGTATAGTTTGTCTTTATTTTGAAAATGTGGATGTTTTGCTCGTTAAATTTCCTGTTGGAACCGTATAGATTTTTTTTTTTAACAGTGTCCTGTCTGACAATGTGGCAATAAGAATAACTGTCTTGATGCCAAAAAAGTTTTTTCTTTCACAAGTGAAGCAGTACGGCTATCGGCATAGTGTTCCGCTTGATTTATGCATATAAATAGCTTTCTTATGATTATGCAGGGAAAGTTACAGATTATATGGACACTGCGATGTAGGTAGAACAGGAAAGGAAAAACAGAAAAAAAGGAGAAAAGACGAAAGAAAGAGGAGTCCCCAGCTCCCCCAGCACACCAACACCTGATTTAATCTACCTGTTTAAAACTACTTGCATAAAAAGGGGGAAATGTCATAATCTAAATCGGCACAGATTGCACAAGACTTTATGAAAGACCTGCAGCAAGAATGTTTTCTTCAAACATTGGCTAAAGATGGCAGAGTTTAATGCAAGCTTGACTATTAGGACTTTTATCTGCAGGACATGAGAGCGTTTAACTCGGCTGCTCCACTTTATTAATATGCCCTAATTTAAAGAAATCTAACACAAAATCTAAATAAATTGGACAAACATCCTAAACTGTGTTGTGATGTTCTGCTGGAACAGGTGCTGCTGCTGCCAGACCCGTTAGAAAGCACCGGCGCCACCATGTACCGGGGGTCCCTGTACTACCAGAGGCGGCTGAGTCGCACACTGATCCGCTACGATCTGGCTGCTGAGCACGTGGCAGCCCGCCGGGAACTCCCCCATGCTGGCTTCCACGGCCAGTTCCCCTACTCCTGGGGGGGCTACACAGACATCGACCTGTCTGTGGATGAGAAGGGGCTGTGGGCCGTCTACTCCACCAGTAAGGCTCAGGGAGCTATTGTGATCTCCAAGCTGGATCCCAACAGCCTGGAGGTGAAGAGGAGCTGGGAGACCAGCATCAGGAAGGCGTCTGTGGCCAACTCCTTCATGATCTGCGGGAAGCTGTACACCGTGGCGAGCTACGCGTCTCGGGAAACCACCATCAACCGCGTGTACGACACCGGAACCAGCCAAGGGAGGGCCGTATCCATCCCCTTCAAGAACAAGTACGGCTACAACAGCATGGTGGACTACAGCCTGGCTCAGAGGAAGCTGTTCGCCTGGGATAACTTCCACCTGGTGACCTATGACCTCAGGCTGGGCCGTCAGCAGGCCAACTGAGGCCGTCATGGAGGACTGCTGCTCTTCTGTTCCTGCTTCAGAGACTCTCAGCTGTAGACCATAACATGAGCGGCAGCAACAGATCTATGGAAACCAGTTGGTTCCAACCGTTCTGTTGAAATTACATAAAAATCTGTTTATTCAATCATAAGGACTGAAATTAGAAACTGTTTGGGGCAACCAGAAACCTGTCTTCTGGCAGATTTCCCCCCCCATCATTATTCCTCAGTGATTAGTAGAATTTGGCCCTTCTGTCTCTCCATAGAGCGGCAGCCGTTCAGCTACCAAACCTCAAAGAAACCCCAGAGTTGCACCCTCAGCAGGTCTACTTTTCCTTTTTTTTTTGCTGTGGCGTGGTCCACCATTTTTGTCTTCAGAGGAATTATTTTTTTACCGCCTTTGATCCATATGTATTGTGTTGTTTTCCATGTTAAGCTTTATTTTGGGGACTTAAGAAAAAAAAAAGTCAGTTTAACCCACTCCCCGGAAAAAAATAAATGTGTGATTCATTAACCCTGTGATGCAAACTGTGGTTTTAAATATCCTGCAGTGACGTATCAGCCATCTGTCACTGAAACTGCCTCCATGCAGCTTGTATTGAATATTGCATGTAATTTGCACAGTTTAATCAATATTATGTCCAAAAATCATAAAATAAACTTTATAAATAAGTTTTTGTTTTCATTTTTCAAAAATATGTCAAATGAACCAGCTTAATGGAAGGAGTAGTCGAATAGTCAATTTTCAAAAGGTTGTTTTAAAAGAACTTCCTCAGAAAAAATTGTTTCATATTAAAGCAGTGTACAGAATTAGAACTTTAAGCTCATTAAAATACTAAAATTCACTTCTAACTTACTGAAAATATTTCAAATTTGAGCTAGAAAGATTATAGGATGCAAGGAAAGGAAGAAGTCAGGCAAGATGATGGAAAAATATCAATATGCAGGACAGAGAAGATGATACAGAAAGAAGCATAATACTTTGAAATGATGGGAAGAAAACCACAAAAATAAAAAATAGACAAGGTCCAGAGGATGGAAAAGGAAAGGAGACGAGTCAGGATGGAAGATAGGAAGGAAAGCAAAGAGTGTGAAGGACAGGACATGGTAAGACCAGGAAAGAAAAATTTTAAAGTAATTAATGAATGGAATTAAGGAAACAAAGGAGGCAACGAAAATAATGTGGGGAAAAACTATGAACAAAGTGAAACAAAAAAGGATGTAAAGGAAACCGGAAGATAATGCAGGAAGAAAAAGAAAAGATTCTACAAAGCAATGCATTTTTAGACACCAGAGTAAAAAAAGAAAAAATATATTTTTTCTAATCTAATCTTTAAGCATTTTTCAGGCCAAATAAACTCGATAATTACATCAAACATCATCTTTTACCCAATAAAGCCGTTTTGAGAGGGCAGCAGGTCTGCATACCATCACCAGCCTGGAAGAGGCTGCATCAGTCTCTGGGTGGAGGACAGTAGCTCTCTACTGACACCCAGTGGTGTGATCTATAAACTACAGAAGAGTATTAGGACCAGGCTAGTTTTTTTTTTCTTTTTATAAGAGAATAAAGTCGTAATATGAGCATATTGTAACATAAAGTCCTAATATTATGAGATCAATGTATTTTATGAAAACTGACAAGAAGCACCATCTTCCCTAAAATGAAGAATGTTGAGCAAATAAGGAAATATTAAGTCTTAGCAAAGTAGCTCAAATACTCAGGTTGCTGTTTAATGGTGCTGGTCTGATGCTGGTTGTGGTACGATGACTTAAATCTCGCAATTTTACAACTTTATAATGCTGCATTATCCTCATAATGTTAGGAATTTATTCTGGCCCTAATAATCAATCATAATAAACACAGTTTAGCAGAAATACATTAAGAAAGAAGAACATACAAATAACAGTATATTATTTTTATTAGTTTCTGTAACCAAACCAAGAGAATGTAAATAAGACCGTACATATCTTAATACAGTGATGAAACCCCTGTACAACAAAAAACAAAAAGTCTTTACCCTCCCTCCCTCCCTCTCCAAATAAAGGAGTCTCCCCCAGCTAGGGCAGATGTGAAGGGAGTCCCTCTCCATCTCAGGGTGCATACTACCGTACACTTCAAGAGGATTCTGCGACTCCAACACCAGAGCGTCGCTGCGGGTAGAACAGCCAGCGGAAGTGAGGCAGAGAAAGAAAACGGCACTGATTGCTCTCATCAGCAAAGACAAAACCAAACATAAAAGTCCTTCTGCACAACCGCTTTAGTATTTGTGGCTTCGCATTGCATCTTTTTTTTTTTTTCCTTGTTCTTCATCCCGTGCCTCCTCATTATGAAGGTCAACATGCACGCTCAAACAAAAAGGGTCAATCTGTTCCTCTACGCAGCCCTGTCCTGCTAAAACACTAGCTAAGGGCACTGATATCAGTCATTAGCAGCAGCTCTGGATGCCTGTATACAGTGAGGTGTGTCAATGTGTTGGTGACCACTCTGGGATGGGTGTGAAAGCAGTGCAAGGATGTGTGATAACTGCTCCCACTGCGGAGCAGCTGGAATTATGTGATCCTACTTTATCAACTCAACCCAACGAGCGCGCCGCGAGCACGCCGCGAGCACGCCGCTGCAGCATTGCTGACGTTAAACAGAGTCCAGCGCTAAACTTTCCCACCTGGAACGGACACACACCTGGACACAGGAGGAGCTCTCAGGCAAGGAGATGAGAGCGCGAGGCTCACAGGCAGACAAATCAAGAACAGAAAAAAAAAAAATTACAGTCAATCAAACGCTGCAAATTTTTCACATTTCTGATAAAACAAAACCATTTTTGATTTCATGTCTTGGTGCAGCAGCTGTTCCAACCGTTTCTGGATTAGTTCTAATTGGTCAAACAAAAGGTGTGCTTCCATACATAGGATATCTTCTTAAGGAAACAAACTGATTTATTCATTTCTTTTTGTAAACAAAAACATGTTTCTCCAATAATATATCTGAAGCTATGGGGGGGTCAAACTAAAACGAGCTATAAAAACGGCTAACTCAGCAGCAATTCTCAGATCTCTCTCCGTCAGTCAGATGGTGGATTTCTATGGAACGACGTGAGCAGCAAGTTTATCAGCATCTAAGTATGATGAAAGTCGGCCCACCTGCAGAGCGGCAGGGTGGGCAGAAAGGAGGAAGAGGACGACCTCCGACCTCCCCCCCGGTTCCTCCTCCTCCCCCACGCTGTCCTCCAGGGCTGGTAGGAGGCTGTGATTGTGTAAATGGGGGTAGGGTCTCTCTTCCATCCTGATGTTTTGTCGTCTCGATGGGGCTGGCGGCTCGTTATTTGCCCTCCTCTGGTTTGATGGCCTGTGGTTTAATGGGGCCAGTTCGAATGGGCTTGGCCGTGGATGCAGCAGGTTTGTCGGCATCCGGTCGCTCCACGGCTGCCTGGTGGTTGGTGGCCGACGGGTCGAGCGGAGCTTTTCCTCCTTGATCGAGCCGAGGCTTGCTGACTTGAGGGGCCTTCAGCTGCTGCTGCTGCTGCTCTGAGAAGAACTTATGAGTCGACTGAAGAACTTCAGCGCGCTGCTTTGCCTTCAGAGGACAGGAGGAAAAATCAATGAACCAATCAGGACGAACCAATCAGCCTAAAACGGAGAATAGAGCCACCGCCTACCTTTAGGTCCTGCTCAGCCTTCAGGGCTGCTTGTGTCCCTCTGGGTGGAAGGGAGGAGCCAGAGGGGCCCCTGGGAGGGTGCTGACTGTGCTGGGGTCGGGGGTGAGGCATCAGCCCACCACTCATGTTGGGTGAAATAGGAGGACCCATTGAGGAGCGCTGGACTCCTCCTCCAAAGGAGTTTGCGTGGTGAGGGCGAACCAGAGGAGAGACGATATTGGGCTGAGACAGCATCTAAAGAAAAAGTCAACGATCAGAGACGCATCGAGGTTCCACAAACATTTTCCTCTGCTAAACCATTAATCAATTAAAGACGTTATGATCTAGTTTCCAGGCAACGGGCTGCATGTCTGACGGAATGCATTCGCTGCATCATGAATCAGATCAAAATGTTGATGCATCATGATCTGGTGTGCTACCTGTGGGTTGAACTGGCCGGGGAAATGCTGAGTCATTCTCAGGCCTGCAGAACTGGGCTGGAACTGCTTCTGGTAAAGCATGCTGTTCATTTTACTGGATTGGCTACTGGGAGAAGTGGAGCTGGCCCTGCAGCAAGCAGACAGAAAACCACTGATGTGACGCAAAGAGCAAGACAAGGGCAAAGAAAAAAAAAAGAACATTTGTACAAAATGATTTATACACAAGATATTATCTGCTGTTCTTTGATGAACAGAAACTTAGAGCGGTTATGTGATCCATCTCCCTGCTTTTAGTCAGAACGGCTGGATTATTACTGCCCCCCCCCAAACTCAGCTCTGGATTAACAGATTTTAATTAAAAAAATTTAATTCACAGGGTTAATCAATGCAGGAAAAATACCACAGTTTATTCAGCCATTTAGTTTAGATCCATCCGACTCCTTCAGACTAATCAGGTAAAATAAATGCAGAACAAGTTGGTTTTTTTTAAAAGCTGAGTCATTATTAGAGCAGTAACGGTTTGCATATTTGTATGGAACCGGTCGGAACAGCAGACCCAGTAGCGACCTGTTTGAAGCAGATATAATCATTTATTTAGCCGGGCATATTTATCGCGTTATATTTGGTCAATCTGTGCTGTCAGACCCTATTGAACGACGGGCCTTTTTCCACTTTCTCGCACACATAAGCTTAAGCTACGGCATCAGAGCCTGTGGAGACCGAGATCTCAGAGGAAAGTAAGGAGCTAAAGAAAGAAGCTCCCTCCAACCTTAAGTCCCCTCAGGCAGCATTTTGATTCCCAGTAACACCAAGTTAAAAAGGTAAACAAAACGAACGCAGCGAGCCGACACTACAGCATTGAGGTAAGCAATTATATAAAGAGAAAACTGCTGTGATGTTTAATTTTTGAGACGAGGATGAGATGTTCCTGTTGAATGCTGCTTTATGATGACCTTAGATGGGAATCCATTCATTTAATGCACTCTGTGGGAACTGGTTCACAAGCAGAATTTCCATTTTTCATTGAAAAAAAATCTTGTTTTTGCATATTTTCTTATTTAAATTCTCATTCAAGAAAACTGCTTTGATGTTATTCCAAAAAGGTATAAAGAAAAAATTTTATGAGAATAATGTCCAGTTCTACGCTGGTGCTAAAAGATTTCCTGATTTGTCAAACCGAAGCCAAAGTTTAACTTCACATGATGCTCCACATTCCACATTTAATGGAAGAAAGTGCTTCTTGTAAGAGTTGGCATAAAATATGACTTTCTTCCTCAATTTTGACGACTTTCTTCCTCAATTTTGACGACTTTCTTCCTCAATTTTGACGACTTTCTTCCTCAATTTTGACGACTTTCTTCCTCAATTTTGACGACTTTATTCCTCAATTTTGACGACTTTATTCCTCAATTTTGACGACTTTATTCCTCAATTTTGACAACTTTATTCCTCAATTTTGACAACTTTATTCCTCAATTTTGACGACTTTATTCTCAATTTTGACGACTTTATTCTCAATTTTGACGACTTTATTCTCGAAATAGAAAAAAAATAAAAAAATAATAAAATCTCTAGCCTGGCCCTAATACTCCGTCGTAGTTTTCCAAGTGTGAAGACGTTTCTCTTCCCATCCAGGAAGGTTTTTCGATTCCAAATGTCTGGAGAAGCGTTGACTTCCAGGGTTATAAAGTGGCCTAAACAAAAGCCTCGTTATGGATTAGAAAACATGCAAATTGAACTGAAAACAGCTCCACCCCTTAGGAATGGGAAGTCTTTGGCCTGCAAAACCCGATACTGGCTTTGATGTAACATTTGTGAATAAAACAATATATATCTTGGTGTTTATTTTTTCTTTAAATACTGAACTGAAAAAATACCAAACCGTGAATGTTGTGTACCGCTACAACCTTTCTGTTTACATAGATCAAGTACATCTGGTTGTGTTTCATCTCTGGATCAGGTGGTGGGAAGTAATTCATTTGGACAATAGTGGTTTTTGAACACTTTGATAGGCTGAGGTTTACCGGTAAGGACTGGAGGTGGGGGTGGTGCTCCTGCCGCCGACTGGAGGAGTCCCGGGCTTCACGTCCATCCCGCTGCCGAACAGCTTGAGATCCATGTCCATCTGTAACGAGTAGGAATAATATCTGATAAGCTTCCTGTCAGAACCTTCAGCTGTGGTGAAACAGAATGAAGCGCAGCACCTTGCTGGTTGGAGGCTGCATCATGTTATGGTTTGGACCCATGATGCCTCGGTAGGGCTGAGACACCGGGGGCTGGCGGTTGATGTTTGGAGGCTGGGGTTGGGGAGGAGTGGGCGGCAGAGCGAGCAGAGGCTGACCACCTCCTGACCCAAAGTTCGGCAGAGACAACTGGGAACCAGGCAGAGGGACAGTTACCTTTAAAAAAGGAGTAAACGAATCAACTGGGAAATGAAGCTGCATTAACTGGTTTTATTTTAACCATTACCTGCTGCATTGCAGAGCTGGGAGACTGCGTGTTGCTATAGTAACTGCTCTGACCATGCTGCTGCACCTGCCCCGAGTACATGTTAGAATGCTGATTCATCCCCTGGCGAGCCTGAGGAGTCAGCAATGCCAAATGCTTCTTGTGAATGAACATGAGAAATAAATAGAAACAGCTCTGACTCTGAAGTGATGTGAAAACCTGTGTGGGGGTGTTACCTGCAGCAGGTGCGTATCTATGAGCTGGGACCCTCCCATCCCTGAGGCCTGGTTGAGCGGCGGCTCAAACAGAATGGGAATGTGTTGGGTGGAGGAGGGCTGCTGATAGGCCAGGCTGGACTGAGGCTTGCCCAGGTCGGGAGCCTGAACCCCCGGGTAGCTGTGCAGGGACGGTCCGGACAGCATCATGGACGGCTGGGACAAGCTGCCCTGCATGAACGCCTGCTGTGACCTAAGAGACCGAGCAGAAACGCTGTGTCCTTTAAAAAGCCTCCTGAGGCATTTCTGAGCTGCAGGCGGAGGGTTCCCTTTACCTGTAAGGCTGAAGTGAAGAGCTGAACAGGTCCTGTGGCTGAGACACGGGCGGGCCGGTGCCGAGTCCCAGCTGAGCCTGGTGGGTGTGTTGGTGCTGAGGCTGGCCTTGAAGCGGAGCGTAGATGGGAATGGGAATCTGCTGCACTGCTGTTGGCTGCGTGGCACAGAAACAAGCTCCGTTTATGACGCCATGTTAAACGTGTCTGCTTTACCTGTGACAAACAAAAGCCCACCTGCGAAAGGCCCGGCTGGAAGCCTTGCTGCTGCGCCAGAGAAGGGGCGGCGAGGCGAGGGTGCGGGGTGCTGAACAGGTGGCTAGTGTCCATGTAGAAGGCTGGAATCTGAGCTGCAGAACCTGATCAAGCATCACTCGTTTATTAAAAGGCCTTTGCATCAATTTGTGTTGAGCTTCAGGGATTTCTCTCACCTGCTGCGGCCTGGGAAACGTACACCTGTGGGGTCTGTTGCTGCTGAGGCAGGAGGGGGGGCACGCAGCCCAGCTGAGAGAAGCTGCTGCTGGTGGAGGAGGACAGGCTTCCGCCTTGGAGCTGCTGCGGTTTCACCTTACAGATGTTAGGAGGGTCGGAGGCTGATGTGGTCTTTGTGCTGAGGGACGATGTGGTGTAGGTACCAGAACCTGCTGGTTGGACACAGTCTATTTAATGTGTTTTTCTAGTATATAAATGCCTGCCGAGGTTCCTCCAACTAGTTCAGTATTTTACGTTTGTTTCACACAGCATATTTAATTTAGGATGTTTGCTAATGTGGGTGCACACATTTAGTAAACGCTGTCAAGATTACCAACTGTTTTTCTTTTACCGAGGTTGAAAGTAGTTGGAGGAGGAAATTTGGTGTAACACAAGGAAGTGGAGGATTCCAATAAGCAGCTGATACTGGGAGACTTGGATCCGAGATAACGGGAGTGGACACAACCGCTTTTCCAAAACTGCACATGGACATCTAGTTGTTTACTTTTTGTCGACTGGTTCAGACTTTCATCAAACATTAAAGCAAAGGGTCCTGTCTTGTTGACTGTAGAAATCAGTGTGTTTTTGAAGTGAGGGGAAAATCCAAATTTTATAATGTAGCTGGTTTTGTCCTTTCCACAGGTTGAAGATTTGGCTATATCAGAATCAGCAAACATTGTCTGAAATAACTCAGAAACACCATCGTTGGATGCAAAAGAGTGGTGCCTCACTGCAGGGTTCAGACACCAGAGCACCTCGGCTTCCAAAGTCGCGTTCGAGCCAAATACTGCTCGCAGGTCACAGTCGCCGTAGGAGAGGTGGTTGTAGCAGCCGCTACAGTTGTGGTGACAGCGGGGGTTGGGTTGCTGGCCACAGCAAAGAAATTGGGCACGGTTAACTGCCTCTGCCTTCAATGGCCGACTTGTGATTTCACCGCCCTGACGCCCATTGTACAAAGTTTGAGCATCTTTTTACACACGCTGCAAAATGCTTCTCCAGGTTTACATTCATCGGGCTTTAACCAGGTTTGAATCGTTCATCCTCAAACCACTTTTGCTGAAAGTTACATTTTCGCCCCTCCCATCCTAAAATTAGCTTCGCTCTTTCGCCGCAGCACGTACATGCGACACAGACAGCACATTGCATCGAGTGTTTCGACTTCATGCACCGGCTGTACGCAATAGTCGATTATAGGTTCCGCCTGATCATCACTATCCTTCTAAACAAAACAATGTTTGTAGGCAACATAAATTGTGAATAATGTTTTTGTTCCATCAAGTGTTTGTAGTTTTTAATGCCTCCAGACATTGAAATTAATGCTTTTTAATGCTATTTAAGGCCTTGATTTTCATAAAATCGTTTAATTACTTTTAATGACGCGCGGGAACCCTGTATAAGTATGTGTTTTCTAGTTGAACTTTTTCTCCCTCCCCTCCCCTCCTTGTTTTTAGGCTAGCCTATGTGTTCATTGTGTTATCCCTGGTTAGATTTGTCTTAGTTGATATCTTCTTTTGGCCCAATTTTTTTTCTTCATTTTGAGTCTGTTTGTTAGTACCATATTTTTTCTATGCTTTTCTCCTTTGCCTGACTGCTTGATCCCTGACTATGCCAAAAAAATTCTGTTTTTTGATTGTATAAATGTGGTAAAGTTCATTAAGCAGGCGCTGTATGCGCTAGGGGTGTAAATCACATCCATCATGGCGATTCGATTCAGTATCGATTTCCTGACCCAACGATTCGATTATTTTCGATTCTCAAGAATACACCACGATTCGATTCGATTCGATTAATTGATTAATCGGTTAAATTTTTCCTTTATTATTTATTTTTTTTTTTTACACCTTACAGGCTAAACAAAGTTTCAAGTTTGAAATAAATCAATGAAAGCTGTAATATCATTATGCATTTTCTTTAGAAACAACAGCAAATAACAGAAGTAGAAAAGTTGCATCAAAAAATACTGCAAAAATACTGCAGATAATCAGTGTAATGAGTTCAATGCAATACCTCGGCTCCAGAGAAACTGTCCAACATATTTTTTTAGAATGTAATAAATATACTCAGGAAAGAGAGATGTTGTGTAGAGAGTTAGACAGGAATAAAAATAAACTAGATATAAGGGAATTGTTTCAAAGGTCATCTGGGGATGTAGTTTTTGGTAGTATTTTTAATTTTCTAAGAAGAACGAGTATTTTAGGGAGAATATAATAGTTTGTCTGGTCCATACTCCATTCTGGAAGGTGGCGGTAATGCACCTATAAGTTGTTTGCCAACCGCCATTAAAAAAAAGAAGAAGGCGGCTCCAGCGTGTCGACGTCACCGCCCCTTAAGAGACGCTCCGCTGCTCCTCTCCCAGATTGTAGCTGACCGCAAACAGGAGGCCGGCTTGTTTTGTTTTTATGACCGAAATTACAGAAAACAACTCGTGAAGTTTGACCCGCTAGAAGAGCGAGGTGCGCGAGAACGCTGGGACCCTTTTTCCACCTGGATCTCCGCTCTTTTTGGCCCTCATGTCCCTCCGTCGTCGGACTAAACTCGCCCCCACTTCCTCGCCGCCTCGGCCGTATCTAGACCCACAGCGTGTAGCGCAGACCACGCTTCAATACTGAGCATAATTTAAAAATGTCTGCATCAAGCTCACTGCAACAAACTGCTGTAAGAGTATAACCAGGAAGCGAGGTAGGAGAGCAAAATAGGTTTAGCGCCACCGCAGCACGGGAGGGAGAATTACGCCCAGGAGCAACTGGATAAAAATAGACCGGAGGAAAAAAAAAAAAAACATGAATCTATTCTCTTGCGGACATGTCGATGCATCGGATCGACGGCTTTTGGATCGATGCATCGATACAAAACGATTATTATTTACACCCCTAGTATGCGCTTTATACACAGAGGGCTAAGTTACCTGGCAGAGAAGTGCTGGGGGTTACGGATGCCACGGGGATCTGGGGCATGGAGGCCGAGGAGAAGGAGGAGTATGAGGAAGCACAGGAGGTGTTTGGGGAGGACGAGGAGGTGACTGGAGAGCTTTTCTCCAAACTGGGAGAGTTTTCCCAAGCTTTCCGAGCAGACTCCATCTGTGGAGTCGGGGAGAAACGGTGATTAGTAAATTTTCATTAAAAGTCATTTTATCTCCCCACAGTAAGGGGCTCAGAATATTCTCCTTACTTTTAGTGTTAGGTCAACAGTAGCAGGAGAAACCGTGCTGAGGCTGGAGCTCTGCTGTAGGGTCTCTCTGCGAGGAAGGGGCAGCGAGTGGGGGAGCGCCACCTGGAAAATAAATCAGTATAAACACATTTTCCCTAATTTTTTTTTTTAACATTTCAGGCTCAGAATTTCTACCCACATTGGCCACTAAGCTGTCCTCCATTTTGTTGCCTCCTGTGGGAACGCTGTCCGCCAGAGACGAGGAGGGGGTGGTGTAGTCTGTGACAGACTCCTGAGAAGAGACAAGAATCAACCACCTCAAGATGTTTGTCGTTTTTTTTAGTCAGCAGACCAGAGACATGAGGGAACAGAGGTTCTACCAACCTTGGAGTTACTGGAGTACTCTGCTGAGGGGACGGTGATCATGCCCTCGATGTCCCCTCCCAGTTCTGGTACTGTGGTGTCACTGGTGGGAGGACTGGAGTCTGTGGCTCTGCTGACGCCTCCACCCGTTACTCCTCCCTCCATCCCTTCAGCTTCGGCTCCGCGTGCGTCTTTGGCCTTGCGGTTCTTCAGAGAGCGTTCTTTTCCGATGGGACCTGGCTTGTACTCCTTGGGTTCTACTGGTTCCATCTCAGGAAGCTAACGAAGCAGAGATGAGGGATCAACAGAGGGATGGAGAACGGATGCGGAGCTGCATTAATAAACAGATTTACCTTTTGGGTTTTGATTGGACCGCTTCGTGGTTGTTTCTGTCTTTGTTCTTTGGGAGCAGGAAGTTTGCTTTCAGAGACGGTTTCCAGCAGGGCTGGTCCTCCGTCACTGTCGGTGCTTCCTGCAGATGACGGCGCTCCAAACTGAATGCTGTCTATGCCTAACTCCACAGAGCCGTCAGCTCCGGGCTTCCCACCCTACAGGAAGACAAACATGTTTGAGGCATGGAAGGAGAACAGAGGTCAGAGTCTGTTCATGTAGGAGCTTAAACTTACCTCAGAGGAGACGGTGCCGGTGAAGGAGGTTAAAGGTTTGTTCCAAGCGCTCACAGAGGGGGGCTGAGGAGGGCTGATGGGACCTACTGGAATTTACAAAGTTACACATTTCACTCAGACCGTGTTGATCAAAACCACTGAGCCGCAAACCAGTTCAGACTTACGTTTCTTGACATCAGGAAGGGCAGCGGAGCCCGCCACCTTGTTCTCCCACAGCTCTGTACCCAGAGTGTTGTGCGGCTGTGCAGGCGCAGGGGGGAGGGTCTTTGAAGTGAACTCCACGGTAGCCGGAGGAATGGAGGGTAGAGGAGCCACCGCTCCTTCTAGAGTTTGAGGAGATGCAGCAGGCTGTGAGGGAGCGTGGTGAGGATGCTGCGCTGCAGAGACAGGCGGCGGCGGTGGCGGCTGCTGGGCGGCGGCGGCTGCAGGAGGCTGAGGCTGTGCAGCCTGCTGCTGCTGAGGCTGCTGCTGGGATGACTGCTTTTTGGCAAATCTGGGTGGCAGCTTTCCTCCACTTCCTCTGCTTTTCTCACCGGAACCTTTCTTACCCCAATTCTGGAGAAGATTTAGATTCATTTTAACTTAAATGACGATACCAGAACTCCTAGAAATTAATCTTAACTTCTTACATTTTCCAGAACTAAATCTGTCAAAGCGTTCTTAAAGGTGTATTTTTTATATAATGATGTTCTGGACATTTCAAACATTCCCTGAACATCTGAGCCTATTGGGTTAATCTATTATAATCTGGATTGCATTACCCCACACCACATATGAAATTCTTTATGAAGACTAGTTTATGAGTAGTTGTTTGCTCATAAAACTAAAAACACAAAGCAAAATTTTCTGTTGTGTATAAATAAGTAGAAATCAAACAAAAAACTAGAATCTAAATCTAGATAGCTGCAAAATAACCCCTTGTAGGATGTGTAGAGTTTTCTTGTTTTAGAATAAATTCTGAAAGGTAGACGGGAGTATAATATTTGTTCTTTTTGATCGGACAGCATAAATGATCCTTACCTGAGACGTCTGCTCCTCCTTCTTGCGTTTCTCTTCGTCCTGCAGTCGTTTCTGTTGCTTGCGGGAAACTACTTCTGTGAAACCATCATCGTTGGCACTGGACTGTGGATCCTCTGTGGTGGTCACCTCAGGATGGTCATCAATAATCACAACACCTAAATTAAACCAAGTTAGAGTTATTTACCCACTGCAACCATGGAATAAACAGTGTGTTTATTTTATTAGTAAATAGAGATGATGCATGGAAGCATTACTGACTTGCATAATTGTTAAGATCAAACTGAGAAAGGGCGTTCTCCTTTGGCTTCTTGATGGGCTGCTTGGCCTCATCTTTGCGTCTTGCAGGCTGATCCTTGGCAGCTCTCTGGGAGCTTCCTCCAGCTGCTGGGACCGACGTCTCCGAGTTCTGCTGAGCTGCAGGGCTGATGAGAAAAAACAGGAATCGATCAGGGCTGTCCTGATCCACTCCCAGGTTCAGAGATGAGGTTCAATCAATTTTAAATGACTGTTTTAAGGAAACATTAAGAAACCCAGGCTTTTTTCTATCCGTTTTAAATCTACTGAAAATCTTCCAGAAATTTAATTTGGGACATTTCAAGTAACCTGACTCTGCCAGATGGATTTGCTCCGCATATCCATCTGAAGGCTGAAGAAATTTTGGGAAGGGGCAAAAATACTGGTTAGCTGATTGGCCTATGTTGGTGATAGACGGGCCAAATAAACCAATCAGATCAACGAAGCATATGAC